ATTCCTGCTCTTTTCTACTGGTGTATGTGGATGTGATCCTCCAGCCCTTAAGTGGTAATCATTATTCAATTTCTCTTACTGAGATGAAACCAGAACGAGAAAAAATATACAAAGAAAATTCAGAATGAAAAAATAAAGCAAAAATCTAGATTAGTGTTAAATCTACAATAGCTTACTTTTCCAAAGACTTCAGCTTGTAGCGAAAGGCAATATCAGAGTCTGGCAAGAGAATACCAAGCCCCATACGATTGTTGTCAAATCCTAGGTTCTTATTTTCCACTATTTCTGCATCAAAATGAGTTGCAAATAAAATAAGAAACAACTTAATTTCATTAACTGCAAAGAACCTTCCAGGACACTTGGTGCTTCCAGAGCCAAAAGGCATCAGAAAATATTTCAGCTTTCTTCCCCTTTTGAAGAAGGTAGTTTTCTTCTTGCCATTTTCTATGTACCGATCAAACTTATACTCCTGAAAATAAAAGAGAAAGACTGTAAAAATTAATGGAGCAGTTATATCAGCTGCTTCATTTGAAAGAGGGTGTGTCGATGTGTCTAGAACCCTGAAATAAGTTCAAAAGCTAAGCCAAGGAGCCATCAACTTCATTTCTTTACTCCTTTAAAATGAGTTTATCAACTTTCAAAACCACTGTCATTCCCTACCCCCTCCCCAAAAACACTCCTAAAAAACCCAGTGTTTTGCTTAGCTCTTCTTCACTAAACTGTCATATCTCATCCACCTGAATACTCACTTTGTATGTAGTGTAATTACACTATGAATGTTTTGAGACAGAGATAACAAATCATAACAGAAGGATAAATGTGTTTGGTAAAGCATCATACATACATAAGGTACTACACCTATTATTCATAACAGTAACCTACCAAATTCTTCCACTGCCCATAAATTAATGCATTATATTGATCTTGTTCTTTCTGGCAAAGGGAGGCTCAATCTACCCCTTTCCTCCAGTGGTGTGGACTGTTCAGGAAGCAATCCTGATAAGATCCTATCAGTTTTTCTGTCAGTTGAAGGTAGTTGCTGCATGACTTCCTCACATCTGAATTTCAGTATCTTGGCATAGAAAAAGATGTGTGCAATGCAAGACAAAAATCTAATGGGTGTCATAACAGCAAGCATTTTTCAAGTGCAGGACCTTGTAACATTTTGCCCAGCTATTTTAGCTTGTAACTTAGGTTCCATCAATTTAATAGCCTTTTTTCACTTTTAATATCGGGGTCATCATTTAGAGCTAACTCCTGTTTGTGAATGAAGGAGATTTGGCAATCCTAGCTTAGTCCATGGTGAATTAAACCACTTATGAAATCATCATGCACGCTTTGAATGAAAATGACAAAACACTTCCTGCTTATGGTCACTCATTAGCATTTGTCCTGCTTTGAATACATTTGCTATAGTGCAAGCTATTGAGAGATGGATAGGAACAAGTCAGTCAGACAGAAACCATCTTAGTTAATAGAAATATTGATAAAAGATATAAAGGGCTTACTCCTGACCACAGCGCATCTTTGACAATCCACAAACATTTGCTCTACACAAAAGAGCAAAGTTAATGATAAATATGATATTTTAATAAAAATGTAAAAAAAAATAAATCACACTACATTTTCTCTCTCTCCTGTATAATGCTTAGCCTATAGAGAAAAACATAATGAATGCTTCCTTGACCATCTTAATCATCAATGATGGTAGATGATTCAAGTCTCCCAATGACTTGTTCATTTCCTACCCCTCAGATCAGAGGCTTTTGTACTGTAGTCCACAGGACTTCTTGGCTGTCAGGAAAATTAAAAATCTTAAGCAAGAAGTAGAGATGGTGGGAAGCAAAACGGTCCAAGAGAAGTTCTGCATATTGTGTTAACAAGAACATAACAGACAAGGATATGTAACTTCACAAGCTAAAGGTTGGGCAGTTACTTTTCTAAAGGATACAGACTTGGATTTTTCAAGTTGCCTAATACAGTTAAAATGCCAATTTGTACTTAAAAAAATCAAAGCTTTGACCTCTCTGAAAATCACAGCAAAAAAGAACTGTGCTAATTTTTTGTTAATTTTTTTTTCAATTTGAAATAACCCAGTAAAAACTGAAAACCCAAAATATGATATTAAAAAACCCCACATTTTAATATACACATCCTACTAATATAGAAAAAAACTGTTGGTCTTCTTATGCACAAAATGTAATAGCCTTAAAATCTAGCTATCCAATTACATATATTCTAAAGCACTGCCTCTCCTGAGATCAAAGATCTAGGTATGCATACTATAACAGGCCAGTACTTTCTTGGTATTCCTTGTGAGCCATCTCAAGCCTGAAATGGATAAGATAACTGCTGTATCAGGTCTAGAAAAAGAGGAAACATTTAAATACCACAAAACTGCAGCCAAACAGGTAGTACAAATAATGGTGTGATATCCAGGTGTGTGCCTATAAATCTCAGAAATTTGGGTTGGTTTTCTTGGGTTGTCTGGGCAAAGAGATAGTTTTAAGGAAAATTGTTGCTAATAGAGTAGGGTTTACTTTTTTCTGTATTGGTGGGATAAGTGAGAAAAAGTACAAACAAGAGGTAAAATTCTCACTGTAGGGCTGTCCAACTTGACAGCTCTACCTGAAGTAAGCAAACTCATGTGACTGAATTTAAGCTTTCCTCTCAGTCTGGGAAGTTATGATATAGAATTCTTTATTTGATATTTTATTACATGGGATTCCCTTGCTTACTTCTGAGGCTTAGGCTCATTTAAGATTTAGAAGGTCACTTGCCTACGTATTATTGTTCATTTTCTTAGGCTGTGAGACGTGATAAAGGAGATAGCTGGTTACATTTATGTTCATTCTAGTTGTAGCCTGTACTATTAAGTCTTCAGAGGCAACTTGATGTTACCAACCCAGTCCACTAAGCTGCCCATTTTCCCAGGACACCTTTTCAACCCAGCATGTCCATTAAATATACGGCAAACCCAATCTTGCTCTGTCATAACACTGAATCTGTCTCCATCTGATGCACAGTAGATATTGTTTAAAGTACACTGAATATTCAAGAACAAGGCAGAACAGTTATTTTTTCACTTTTCAAGAAGGTCCATATGTTGAAATCAAAGTGGTTTGCAATGTGTGGATCGCTCATTTAGCATCAATATGGCAAAGTATCCGAATGAAAGCCATATTACGAAAACTAAACAGAGCAATACTGAACAAATACACTCTATACACAATTACATGCTAACCTCTTGACAATTATTTGGCATGGGAGGTACTCAACTGCTCCCTAGACAGCCTCTGAATGGGAATCCACATAGAGAAATGGACTTTTGACATTAAAACATTCTACACAATAAAGACACTGCAAAAAGTTATTCATGAGTGTTAGATTTTAATTAAAACATTACATACTAGTAAACCTTTGAATAATTTAAAAAATACTTATACATAACCTTACTTTTCTTTTCTTGTATGAAAGGAAAACTAAGATATGTTTTTTTCCTGAGCGCCATTTTCTATTTCCATAGTTACAGTGTTTAAATTTGTGGCCAATCTTCTATTTATCAGTTCTTTAGGCCAGGCTTTCAATGCCCTTAATCCTGCTGAGTAGCACTTTATTCCACAACTAGTCCCAATGAATTCTGCAACAGGATACTATCCAAACATGAAAAGGATATGAGAGTCCTATTCTCAGATTTGCACATTTTTATTCTTAAATTTTCCTAGAAACAAAAATTCCAGAAGCTGTGTTTCTAAAGTTGGTCTTGCATTTCATTCAAGTCATAGTTTTCTAAAAAATATGAAGAAATATAATATTCATTTTGAAGTTTAACTATGATTTATAATGCATCACAACTTTTTTTTAGCAAGAATCAAACTAATATTATTGAAAATTGATCACTTGCTTAGAAATGGGAAGTGGAAAATGATTTAATTATAAACCAATACCTCTGTACGATGCTTGAGGCATTTGATGGTCTTATTTTGTGGAATCTCAGTTTCTATATGGCACTCTACACTAGTAACAACAATGCTTCAGTAAAATCTACGGGAGAGTACGACTATTCAATTTGCATGCAGGTGGTGAACTTCTGAAACCGTATTAAGGCTGAGCCAGGGTGGATTAATTTCCAGTCTTTGATATTCATTAACTCGAGCTTCAGAAAAAAATACAAGGAGATGACACAATTACCCTCAGAGCATCACTGCAGAGCAACAGCTTTACAATCTCAAGTTCACAACACCATACTAATTGACCAAGAAGGGGTGAATCCCCATGAAGAGAGGTGAAAAAGCATACGGTTCAAGTAAGACACTGCTATTATAGAGCTTTAGAGAGTCAATGACGCTTTGGGGACACTTAGCTAAATGGCCCACATTATTTGCTATTTAAACCACCTTTCATTATTCAGCCCTCCTTGGGTATCAAATGATCCACTGCCAAACAAAACCCACATTTAGCCTAAAGTTTATGGTAGTCAATGTGCAATTGTCATTTCCTTTGAAAGCAATAGCAGTCATTCTCATCACCATATTTCTCTCTTCAAGCCATGAATCCTTTGACCTACAGGGCCCTAGAAAATATATCTGAAAATAGGAAGATTTGTTCCACAAGAAAGAACAGCACTAAAAAACTATCACAAAAGGCCTGAATGCTGCAATGTGCCTGAAGTATGATGAGTAGCACCAGCTGAATGTTTACCTTAGGATCTTCGTAGACCTCAGGGTCCATGTGCAAAGTGGGAGGGTAAAGGGCTACAAAGTCTCCTTTCCTTAAACTGGCTTCCTGATTCCCATCAAGCTTGAGAATAAAATCCTCTTGGCAGAGGCGAAGATTGATGGAAGATGAGGACATTCGTAAACTCTCATTTACAGCACTCTCTGCATTCAAACAAAGAGGGGGAAAGAAGCATGAAAATATGGAAGATGGCTGGGTGGGTGCAGCTGTTGAATCTCTACAGGTCTAGGAAATGGGGGGAAAAATCACAAATTAAACAACATGAGGAGGTAATAAACATTCCCGGAGCGCTGGGGGCAAAGCTGCAATTCTGAATCTTTAGACATAAATTCTCACTGATAGTTCTGAGAAATCTTGTAGGCTGTAGTGAACTTTGGGTGGAAAGCCCTTACTCAGGCATGCTGCAAACACACACAATTGAAAGAGTTGAATGCTTTATGTATTTACTCACATTTTGGAGGTTGCAGGCAAATACCAGTCAAAGCCTCCAAAGAGCCAGCTAGCATTCCCTTTGAAACCTGTTGGTTGTAATGGCAGGCTTGTATATTAGAAAATCATTTAACTTGTTAATAATGGAGTAATTTTGAGGTATTTTTCCCCTTTAAGCAAGATATGGTGCCCCAATCATCATTTCTAATATTTTCAGAGAGAATGAAATGATTCTTTATCTGCCTAGTAATTTGTAACAAAGAAAACACATTTAATCAATCAAGGGAAAAAAGCCCACATCTTTTTCTCAGTGTTATGGAAAACAAGATTTTTATCATCATCATCTCCTGGAAGGCTCCAGAAGCTGAATGTCCTTGCTTTCCCAGTGGCCTTCACCTTTTGCTCCTAGCACGACAGATTTTATGGCTAATTTCCGGCAATTTATCCTGGCAGTTTGAGGAGGAATTCCTTTGGGAATAATATGCATAATTTGCATAAATCATTCTGATAGCATGCATATCAGCATGTAGCTCCTGTCTAGGGCTGCATCTCTCACTTTGTAATCAAAACTGACTATTTTTCCACCAGCATGTATGGGTGCTATAATATGTGACTTGATTCCTTCTAATCATCAGTGTGAAAAATAGCTTAAAATAGTTTCATTTGCACATGATAATGCCTTTATGACTGTATTTATGTTTGGCAACATAAAATAAACCCTCTGTAAGTGTGCAGCAAGGCACTGTAACCCATGCACCCAAAGGTTAGTTTACTAAAGACAGTAGCTTCATAGCACAGATACAGCTGAAAAACATAATAACAACCGTTCTTTCACTAAAAATTAAATCTGGTACAGCATGCATAGCAAATAAAGTGGCCTTGGATGCTTTCTCGCAGGAGGTTTTTCCTTAAGCGTGCATTTGTCTAAAGAAATGAGGCTGCGGTCAGCTTTGTGTGGCCAGCGCTGTGATTCAATGTGACGTACAGTGAGTCTGTGCATATTCTTTTGGACTGCCTTCGTTACTATAATCAGGCAGAGTCAAATCGGCTTGTTGGTGACGAAGCCAGAAAAGAACTCTGGTTCCAGAATATGGCCTCTGCTGCGGATAGCCACAAGGCACCTGACACGATAGATTTCAAATGGCAGCACTCTGGCAACAAAACTTTACATGGTACAAAGAAAAGGTCCAGGCTCTACTCTTATGTTGTCTTCAACCTTAGCTTATAACACCATTTTAGTCTATAATTTGAAAATGGTAGCTGACATATGTAGCAACACCATTCACCCAAGAAATCTAATAAGGAGGAAAATAAGAAGAGCAAAATAATTATAGGACTGCTGCCGTGAAATAGCAGGTTTACATTTAACAACATGAGCAACACGGTCACATCCTATTGGCTGACATTCTCCCAGGAAACATGGCAGTCTGTGCCCATTGCAGTATCACAAATGACAATTGGGCAAGCATATCTTATGCAGAAGTTAATCACAATAATGGAGCACAAAGTGTGGCTTAGCGGTCAGATCATAAGTGACAAATCTGTTTTACCTTCCAGTACCAGTTATGAGTGGAAGGCGAGCTTGGCTCTAGCTCTGAGCGATCATGCCGATAATCATTAGATGACAAAAGTAATGAGTCACATTATGATCAACAAAGGAGAATGGAGCTTATATGGGTTTGCAGGCTAACGTTAAAAAAATAGCCACTCAGCTTTCTACAAACAGTGTGAAGGCTGGAGCTATACATTGAGGAGAATGACAACTGCACAATAAAACTGCAGCCTTTACTTGCAGTTGTCATAGTTCAGCAGACACCAGCCATTGCTACTGACAGACCAGCTGGGTAGCTTGGGAGGCCTTCCATTCTGCACCATGAGGTACAGTAAATTATCCAGCACGGTAGAGCAACATCTGTTTCTGTGCTAGTGCCGAACAAACAAGGCAATTTAAAGCATACCAAGGGATAACCAAGCAGCAAATGAACATGACCCTCATTTTTTTCCCTTTCTTACACACACGAGATGCTGAACTTCATTGTACGAGCACTACATAAAGGAGAAGCCAGGCTGTTATTTGATAAGGTGTTGTTAGAGAGATTTGACGTATTTTCTATACAGAGAGAGAGATCTCATAGTATTGTTATTCTTAGAATCCTCCCACTTCTGTCTTCATTTCTCTTATACCAAAGCTAGCACTCAGCTTTCAATTCATTCTAGATTTTTTTTTAAAACTGTTTCAATATACTTATAAATATTCAGTCTTTAAACCTAATTTGCTATACTTAGTTCACATGCCTTCAAGCATTTGTCTTCCAATTTCCACTGAATAAATGCGTACTAATGAGAAATAGAGCAAGCTGCTGAGGCAAAGCTGGGTGACTTGAGCCTGGCCTGCCACCAGCTTGTGATAGGCAGGCAAATTGAGTTAAAATGAAAAGTCTTGTCAGCTGAAATACAACATGGTAGCCAAACAGCAAGCTGTCAATCATCCAGCCAAAACAAGGGACTGCAGGTAATAAAAGGTCATTGTGAATGATTAGTGCATTTGGCTTTCATATGCAAGTTAATTTTAATTAAACATGATCTCTATCTGTAAATGTTTTATAAAACTTATTGTGCATAAAGGACTGTTAATTTTATACTAACATTTAGCTGGTAGTAGGGCCCTATAATTATTAAAGTGTATTGTAGAAAAATAGCTATTGAAAATGCAAATATTTTTGGTGATAATTTACTCTATGCACTACCGTGTGCCAGCACAAATGATAATATCTGAAACAAGCAGATTTGTGGCTTACTAAGAACTGAGCAGTAGTGACCAGCACATATGAAGCAATAGTTTTATTTTTTCCATTCAAACCTACATTTTTGTTTGTGTTTATCACCAACACTATGGCCTTTTTTTCTTGTACTATGTTACTTTTAGGTTTTCTACCTTTTCATGCACAGTTTGTTTGTTTTTTTAACAGTGTTTCTTTAGAAGCAAATATCTGGAATTCAGTGATGCCCTGAGGCAAGAATGCTTGACAATATGAATGAATACAAACATTATAAAATGTACTAAATAAGGAGGGTTTGAATTAAATGTGTGTTAAATGCATTTCTGCTTTACCCTTTGCATTTCAGTTATAGCCATAAAAACTGACAGACCATTCTCATGTATCGTTTACTATCTTAAAGCTCCATTGCGAGTCATAATAACTAATAATGTATGTTATTGTGCTCATGCAAATAAGCACATACTGGATCCTGGAGAAGTCTTAGGTAGACAAAAAGGGATAATGTGATGTTCCAGAAATCTCTGGAAAAGAAATAAATCCGACCCATCATATAGTAACATTTCCCAGTTTTTAATTGGAAACCTAAACTTATGATTCAGAAGCAATACTGTTCCATAGACTAGACTATTTTGACCATAAATATGTTGTTGCTTTTGGGACAAGTTGCAGTAATTCTTGTTCTCCAAACTTTAAGGAAGCAATGTAGGCTTTCTTGCAGTTTTAGTATTTGAGGAACCAGAACATTTAAAATGGGAACATCATAATTCCAAAATGCCATTATAAACCTTCCTGGTCTGTCTTACTGATTTGGAACAGAGAGACAAATTCCTGTCTCTGGCTTACATATGAGATGGAAAAACTCCGATGTTCTCAGGTAGACTGATTAAAGTATTCTAAGTCTATAGAACAAGTTTTATCCTGTGTTTCTTTCGTATACAAAATGGCCAGTCCAGTCACTGGGAAATTTGGCTATAAAAGTCAAACTCCTCCCATACATATTAGCCTCGTGTCCCTTTCATTAAAATGTGAATTTAATACACTTAGTTGTAGTGGATATTTTTCCCTGCTATAATTTTGTGGAATTATAACTAAAGTGCTAAACAACTGAAATCTAGCTTCTGTTCATATCTCATTCAGTTGAATGTGATAATAAAAATTAACAAAAATGCTGTGTGAGTAGGGTCAGGTGCTTTCCTCACAACATGTGAATCAAACATTACTCAAGGACTTTAAAATTTCAAGGAACATTAATTTGGATGATATATTTAATGTTTTAAACTGTTCACATCACTCCATTTTGCACCAGATGTTTTTAGTGAGGTACTCGCATTTGTTTGATCCTTAATGGCACTGGACGCAAATCATGAAATAGCAACTTCACAAAACCCCAATGTTACTGAATAGTGTATAATTTTTAAAAGGCTAAGCAAAATGCAATATGGATATACATTTTAAACTCAAGAAAAGGATACCAGGCTCAACATGATTATCATTCCATTTTCCGTTATCTTCTCTTAATAGTTTTTTTTTTGCAGCATACCACCCAGTTTTCCCTTCCAAATAAACTGGCCATGGTCCTATTCATGCTTCTAACTTCTTTGTCTAGTAACTTTTTCTATTTGCCTGCTAATCTTGGTGTGATGCATTACATCACTGGATAGTCAAATATTTTGTGGATATTGACTTAGAATAATCCTGCCCACCTCTTGTACATCAAAATGGTCTCTCTCCATTACATAATTCTTCAACCCAAGCATCCAGTGACTCTGGAACCACATTCTAGGCCCATGTATAGTATTATAGCTGCCTTAGATCTGTGCTAAAAGTTGAGAAAACAAGTGCAGTTTTATTCTTGTTCTATAATAATCAACTTAGACTTTAAAAACATGAATACGATGCTTGTGATATGTGGCATATACTGATGGTCCTGGAGAACAAAGGTCTTTCTTTGCATACAAAACAAGCAAAGCATGGGCAACTACAATGTACATTTTCCTCAAACTACCCTGCCAATGAAATCCCAATATTAGCTTTTCAGAAGAGTGGAAAGGCAATTTAGGCTCTGATCTAGTAAAGCTCTTATGCACATGCTCAGTTTTAAGCAGAAAAGCAGCTCCATTAACTTCAATGGAATCTCAGTTTCTACACTCTTATTCAGTTGTTGTCCATTCTGTGGATACTGCCAACCCGTGTCAATGGAGATTTGTATTTCTAGAGAGGGGGGTAGATATTTCTTAGATGCACGAATTATATGTCTTAACTACCATCTGTGCCTCTGGAAATCTCCCCTCTTAGGATTTGTGATGCAGTTACTTGTGTTCTAGGACATGAATACCAAGCATCAGATGATATTAGGAAAGGCCAGTCCAGCTACTGGAAATAAAACTCCGTCTCTACTAACTTGTGTCACATTTGGGTCAGTGAGGTAGAAGTGAAAGACATTGTTATCTCTTACTTATCTGCCAGGAGTCTTATATGCATAAATGAAGCCTTGAAATGCTACGACAAAGAAAAACTGGTGCCTGTTTGTAAAACACTGCCCTTTGAATGTAGTTAGCTGTCACATACCTGAGTCTGATTTAAAAACAACTCCCTTTGTAAAGTCTAAAAGACTAAAATTATTTTTGGAAATTAACAAATTACGTTTGGTGCATACACTGATTTCCCTGCCAGCTTGCATTTTGGAAAAGGGTCTTCCTTGGTAATTCAGTACAGAAGTATTTGAAATGCATTAACACTTAGGCAGATGCTCAGAATCAAACAACTTAATAGGCATAAACTTTTTTTCAAATAATTGCAAAGCTTCGATTTAGCCTTTTGCATACCTTGCATAGTTAATTACCTAGGCTCTAATGTTTACATGCAATGAGTGTATCTACAGCTATAAACTACATAATTTATAATTGATGTAAATGGGTGTTATTATGTCAATTAAGCAGCTGTGTCCTCCACCTTCTCAGTAAACAGAAATGAGTGATAAACTGAGTTTGCAGAGAGATACCCTCTTTTCTTCATAAGAGATAAAAATAAATTACCTAGGTAGACCAGGTTGTCCAATTGTTCTCTGGTGAGGTGGATGTTATATCTAGGCCCTTTCTTTTGACCTGTTGACTGCAGCAAATGGTCAATTTCGTCACGCACCACTGCAAGAGCTTCTGGGTGCCGCAGAAGATAATACATGGCCCAGAATGTAGCTGGAATTGTGTTTGCCACAGAGGCCCACAAGAAGGTAAAATGATGTGCTGGGAGAAAATAAGTGAAAAGGAAGATTAATAGCGTTTATTACACTGATTAGATTTGCAGTGTGCTAATTAAAAGATGTTAGGACACAGACCCAGCCAAGGATCAGTGAATGCTAATGAGGACCAATAGGCTTCTGAAGTCTAATTTTCTGCTTAATGAGAAGAGTTTGAAATGTAATGGGGGGGGGGGGAAGTAAATGCAGCTCAGTTATAATCTTTCTCATTATCACCATTAAGTATCTTGTTTTACCACCTCAGCAAAAAAAAAAAAATCAATTATCATAGAGGGTTGTTTCAGAGTAAAACATTTTATCATTAGCCAATTAGAAAGAACATAAAAAAAAAATTCAAGGTCGCCATTTTGCCTTTTTATTTCAAAGGTCTATAGTAAATTATTTTATTTCAGACAAGCAATCTTTCATAAGTTTCCTACCTGCTTTGTCATAAACTGTGAGCAGCTCATATTTCTCAAATAGATCTTTTCTGGCTTGGATCACTTCAGACCCTCCCAGCCATTTTGTCATATTCTGATATGAAAAATGATGTATAAGCTCCTTCCGAACCTTCTTGGTAGCTCCTAGCAACTCAACTGGTATGCCTAAAGCTAAATAGGGAAAGTTGGCATCAAACTTTGTAAATTTGTCTCTGATTTCACTAATAACTTTGTGGCCATCTGCAGCAGGAACTCTTCCATATAGTGTTATAAAACTGGCTTCAAACATTACAGAGCAGCAGAACTTGTACATTTTTTCTGCTTCCCAATCTGTTGCTTGTGAGCATTTCCTTTCAAATATTTGTTGGAGATTTTTCATCATGTCTTCTGAAAGTGTGTCCAAAGACTTCCCTTGTAGGTATTGGTATATTCTATGCAGGTTTTCATTCATTTCCGGGAATTTTGTACTCAATACAGATGGGACGTCAAAAGTTCTGCATATCATTTTATCTGCAAATTCTTGAAATCCAAGTTGCTTGCTATTTCGTGTAATATAAACAAATTGGAATGGGTCCATGAAAAAGGTATAGTATCTACCTGGAGAGAAGAGATAAAAAAAATATATATATATATATATATATATATATATACATATATGCTTTTTAACACTTTTGAAAAAACAATCACTAAAAAAATCAAATTCAACATTAACTTCAGAGAATATTACTTTTCCCTAAGGCTTGAATTTAACTTCAGAGAATATTTATTTTCTCTAAGTCACATTGAAAGCCCCTAAAATTATTTGTAAAAGAAAAAAGGGAGAAATTACAATATGTATTTAGTTAGAAAAAATCAGTAATGAATTTTTGTGGAGGATGAAGATTTCACCTGCATGTTTTTATTGAACTCGTAAAACCAGAACAGGGCTGTTCAAGTGCAGACTGATCTATTATTTTGACAAAAATGAAGGGTGATATATACATATAAATAGGGCACTCTGGAATCATAAGAAACATTTACTAAACTGGTTTAACTTAGGAAAATGCAATATGGCTTAACATAATACTTTTAAAACTATACATCTCTTAAGGGCAAAAAGGAACAAGTAAATCATTCTATAAAAATGGAGAATACTTTCAGAAAGACTGCAGTGGGGAATATGCTCGCTTATCAGATGAAGAAACCAAAGGGCCCAAATGATTAGTTCTAAAAATGAAGGCTTTTGTTCTGTAATGAGTTCTGCATACATTCCCAGATCACCCTGAAGTCCTTGGGGTTTTACATGGAACAGAGGCCACATGTCTTGAGTCTCATCCCAGGAGCAAAGCCTCAGATGTTTTCCATAACTTAAAGAAAAAACATGGTACCTAAAATACCTTTTAATTATATTGTGTTCTTCTATACTGCCTTTTCATATAACAGGCTGAAGCAGCTTTATTATAATATCAATACATTTCCCATGTGGTTTATTTAAAAAAAATATATCTTGAAGGGCAATGTGGTATCATGTTAAAACAAGGGGGTGTTTGCAGCTCCACATGTGTGCCAGATGTGTGGCCCCTGGGAGAGTGCTGACTTCTGCTGTGCTAACTATTGTGGTGCCATCAGCCACTGTTGCAGCAGCAGCTGTTTTTGTTCCCCCCACACAAAGCTGGTGCCCAGAGCTGCTGCCCCAATTACCCCTCCCCCTTAGTTACACTACTGTGTATTTGGAAAATATGCTAAGCTATCTTGATTTTACTTTACTGCCACCCACAACTAAAAGTAGCCAATATTAGTGCCAGAAAAGTCCAGAAAGGCACTTTAAGCACATAAAATGGGACCTAGGTGGAAGTCAGATACGCAAGTATGTTCATGTGTAGAAGTGTCCTAGGCATCTAGATGCTGCTTGAAATCCACTGTGATCCAAAATCTGGAAGATCAGGATCTAAACCTCTGGAAGGAATCATTATGGCAGGTGTGTCTGAAGCAAGCCTAATACCCACAAATACTTTAGGCCTAACACAAAGCACAACTACAGACATTGTTAAGGCTAGATGCAGAGCTCACCTTAAAAGAGGCTTGTGGTTAAAGCACTCACCCAGAAAGTGGGAGCCTTGGGTTTTAAGACCCTCCTCAACCTGAATGCATTCAAATCTGTACCAGTAGGCATGCTAATCAATAAGCTACAGACTCAGGTGCCTGCTTCCTGTCCTGGCTCAATGAGCCTTGTGTTTTTAGCTACCTAATGCCACAGGTTAAAAAAAAAAGGATGAAGAATCTTCCCTGTCTTCTCCCCTTTCCCATGATTTTCTAAGCCTAGAGGATATGGCTATGTCCTGGGAGTTGGGAGATCTGGCTTTGAAACCTGTAAGGCTCAGAAAGGCCTAAAACCCAGGTCTCTCCTTCCTAACAGCTATTCTCTTATATAAAGGGTGGGGGGGGTGGTACCATCAACTCCTACTCTTTGTTTCACAAATAGTGAGGTCTTCTCACTTTCTTCAGAAGATGATTCTGGGCCATGGATCTTTGAAGGGAAGGCAGCAGCCAAGCTTCAGGGAAGAATGAGAATTCAGACACATTCTGAACTCAGAGCTTAAGTACAGACAGTCAAAAAACCCAAATTATGCAGGTTTCTCTAAAATGCATAGACTGGACCATTAGCAAGTGGAACTCATGTTCACTCTTTGGTTGGGGAAGGTAAGGAGAAACCTGTACTGGCTGAGGCCAGAAGGCTGGAGATACTCCCACATGCTTCCCAGCATGCCAAACATTACTGAGGGCACTTGAATGTGGCCAAATGATTGTATCACCTCCAGGGATCCGGGTTTTCTGTTTCCCATGGAAAAACTGGGAAAAATGCAGATTTTCCCTTTAACTGAGAAAAATGCAGATTTTTCAAGTTAACAGAGAAACATGCTATTTTCCACTTGAGTTCCAGCCTGCAAGGGGCTGAGGGGAGCAGGAGAAGGGTAGTCAGGCAGGGAGTGGCATACATATGTGTACACTCACGCATGCACCAGGCTGCCAGGCAGCCTGGAGAGCTGCTCCCATAGGTAAGTCTGATGGTGAGGGGAGGGGGGATTGAGGGAAGGAGGAAGGGAGGGAATTGGGCAGGGTTGGGACTGGGGCTGCTGCCCAGCTGGGATGCATGGGGCTTGGGGCTCAGGGCTGGAATGACGGCCACCTAAATCAGAAAAAAGGTAATGTTTGCAACTAGTCGGAGTTTCCTATCAGCTAACTCGAGGCAACTTCCCATTAGCATATGGGTTTGTATGGGTTGCTCCAATATTCCTATGCACATGTGACGGGGGGTGGGAAGCAGGAGGAAATTTGGTGATGTGATCGTATCTGACTTCAATTCCTTCACCCCTCTTGCCATCTACCCATAGGAGCTGAGGGTCTGTTTCTGCCACAGTCATGCCTGCTATGTACTGCCAGGCCCTAAGGCCAAGGGCCCAATCCTGACTGCCCTCGCCCCTCTTTCCAAAATCCTACATTAGCTGTTGTCCCAATGCACTGTATAGGGAGCCTAGTCACCTAACTGCTTTCTTTGGATCAACCTCCTTGTGTCTGAAACTCAACTGTTATGTACTCTTGAACCTAAGTTGGATGCCTTTCTAGATACTTAACTGAAGGAGACAATACTGAACCACTGATAATAATACTGGAGAAAAACAGATACCAAGCAGTGTTATTTTTGTATTATTGTGTTATATGTTTTTAAGATAAGTTTGCCAACATCTTAACCTCTAAAGTTTTTATTAGCTACTAGGGGTGTGCAAAACAGGCTGTATTCAATTCGGATTTGGATTCAAACCAAATTGGGGACAGTGATTCAATTTATTGATTTGTATCACTGTCCTGATTCGATTCAGCTGAATCCAAATCTGAAGATTCAATGCTGATTCAGAGAATCAGGGATTTGGCCATTGACATAGCTTTAAATATTTTTTCTACATACCTTGAGGTACCAGGTATGGCTCATGAGTGCTGCGATGTTGGGGTGGATGGAGTGTCCCACAGGAGCGCAGGGCCCACCCCCCTCCCTTGTGTGCTCAGCGGCAAACCCATAAGTGGACCTGAAGTACCTCTGGTCCACTTCTGGGTCCACCGCCAAGCACGTGGGGGCACCCCCCACACCTCCTGACTCAGTGATCGTCCATGGGGGAGCCCCAGGTGCCCCCGCAGACCCAGGAGGCACCAGTCGCTGAGCCGGCAAGGGGGCACAGGGGGCCCTCAGTGTAATCCCCAGTAGACCCAGAAGTGGACTGGAAGTGCTTCTGGTCTACTTCCGGGTCTGCTGCTGAGCATGCTTAGGACTCCCCCACGCTCCTGTGGGATGCTCCATCACCCCCCATCTCAGCATTCACGAGCCGCCTGGTACCTTGAGGTATGTAGAAAAAACATTTAAAGCTGTGTCTATGGCCAAATCGTCAAATCTTTCCAAATTTCTCTGAACTGATTCAGAGGATTCTGACTCAATTCAAAGAGGTTAAAGGGTCTCCTGATTACATTTGGAATCGAAGATTCGGCCACTGAATCAGGCTGAATCTCGGCTGAATTGAATCAGTGACCAACGCTTCGCACTGCCCTATTAGCTACCATTAGTGAAGAAAATATGTGGGTAAATGGCTAGTCATTCATTGGTGATCTAAGAAGTCATTTACAGTATAGGTTTCCAATTCATAAATTGTGGGGGCACTCATTAGGAAAAAAATAGTACCATTAAAATGTAAAATATTCTAACTATAAAACAAGAACAAAGGAACAAAGCTTGCAGCAGCTGAGGCCTAATTCTGCCCTGTTTAATGCTTGGAACATCCTTCAACAGACATAATTTGGCCCTCTGACTGATGCTCTGAGCCCTGTGCTAAAGGTGTTAACAAGTATTATTAGTTACCACATACCACATATCTGAGATAGCATAATTATTTCTTATTATGACTGTAAATACATATATCTGCACAGTAAACATGGATATATGGACCACTTTTATTGGCCCCAATAATTATAACTGGCATATTTTTCCCTGATTACATCCAATGCAATCCCACTGAAAAGAATGAGGTTGCACAAAGCATACATCAATATAGAATTTGTTCCAATGTCTTTGTCAATGGTATCTCGAGTGTTTTGAGATGCTCCTAGTATGCTTTAATGTAAAATAATTTAGAGGAGGAGTTGAACCCAGGTATTCTTATTCCCAATTATTATTCTGACTGCTAGAATGAGGTCTGCCTTGTAGAGTGCAGAACATAAAATGCATTTTCAGTGCCCGTCTCTTCAAAATCCTTCCACACCTATGTTAAAGACCTAGACGTAATGCCCCTTTGCACTCTACTCACTCCATCCTCAAGGTACTTTATCACAAGGTTCTCATCCTTGTGATGAAAGGCTGGAAATAAAGCCCTTTGGAGTGATTTTTAATAAGTAGATTTGGAATGCTATTAACCCTGAAGATGTTAACTGGCTTTCCAACTTTGAGTTTACAGGGTAAACAATTTAAGTTAAGATTTTTTAATTAATATTAATTTAAACCATCTGTCCACCATCTGCTTATTTCAGATGCAAAATATGAGTTTCTTTGTGATCTTTAATCAGACATTTAGCAAAACACTTATCAATTCCTATATTTTTTTTAAATAAGCAAAATGGTTTTAAGCAAATGATTCCTTAAGCAAACAAAACTATTTTAATAAATAGTCTTATATCAGTACTCACTGTTAGCATAATTGCAAAGTTCTGAAAGAAAATGATTAGTTTAGAATCTTTGACAGTGTCACAGATCATCAACTCTGTTAGTCTTATATGTTTCCAATTGATTAAAAAAAAATGCCCAGATAAAAAATAAATGCCAAGAGAAAATTTATTTTGCAAAGTCAAATTCAGTTTCCAAACTACATCACAGGCAAGTCAACAATTTATAGAAACACATACAATAAAGTGTCTCAATTGCTCTCTTTTTGGAGTTTTAACAAGGAAGGATTAACCTGTAAATAGGGAAAGCAAAGTATGCTGGTTTGTGAAAATTGTGCAGATTATTTAAGTACTTCCAATAGAGAACATGAAACCAACTGTAGAACCCAATTATTCTAATATTTTAGATCGCTTTACTTAGTAAAAACTGAAATCTAGCATCGCTAGCTGCAGTTACAAATGACTGAAGTGTGACTTGTTAGTGGATCTTTCAGTGATTACAGTCCTACTTGTACATTGAACTACGTGGCTACACATGTTTACCAATGTGTTCTGTACTGTAACATATTGTCAATTATGATTTTGCATTACATGGTGAAATCATGTCACAATATTTTCTCTACCAACATGAAAGCCTCAGTAGTCTTAAAATCTAAAAGCAATCACTTAGAAAAAAAATCTTTCAATTATGTTTTGTAAACAGAGGGATCATACTTAAGTGTTTCTTTTAAGTAATTTCATTCCCTGTTGAGCTCACTTCTATAGAGTACTGTCACTGTCTGTGTACTGGTGGAAACAAGCACTGACATATGCAGTCCTTTCCTATGTTTTTCAAGTTGTTATTTAACATCTTAAGTATGTGTAATTCCAAAAATGCTATCTCACATTAGTTATCTTTAGGTACTCAGGATCCTTAGGTATTCGGGTGTCTTTAAAGGAACAGATCAAAACCTTGGGACTCACCAGAACATCTATTTGATTAGCTTGATAAGCTAATTGCCAAATCTGGCAAAAAGTACAACATATCATACTATAAGCTTTCTAGATCAGCAAGTTTTTAAGATTAGAATCATTTGCATAAAAACCTGCTGTTCTGGGACAGTTTAATGAAATCCTTAGCTCTTCAGCAATGTTGGTGGGCACTACAATTCCTTTTTCAGAAACATTTGAAAAGACATGAGCATAGAGTAAAAGCATGCTAAATCTCCCTATAGTGTAAGAAGACAAGTCAACTGTTTATTGAATAGCATAGAAACAAATCAAAATAGCTATTTTTTTTCTTATTCCTATAAAAAGCTCTCAGATTTATTAATTTTTTTACATATCTATGTATGGACAAAACTGTACTACTTTTTTCATTCTTTCAGCTTTTATTCTAGCCACTGCTGCACATGTCTATGATCACCATAGCTAATGCAATCTTCTCTAAATAAAAGATTGTTGTAAAAGTTATGAAAATTACCAACAGTTAGTGAATATTGAAGTCAATATTTGTATGACGGTAAGAAATATCTCTAATAATGTACTCTAGTTGTTTTAATGACAATTTCAACAGGCAAGAGCTTCATGTGATGTATCATGAATGTATGTTATTACAATAATATCTGCAGTGGGCCGTAATGTCAAAAGGAGCTGAATTAAATTACTTTTTAATTGAAAAAAGGGAGTTTTAGTGGCATTTATGTAAATCATTACTTTTTTTTTTTAAGTTTACTATGAGTGTTTTAAAAAGACTAAATGTGCTTAGCATAAAATCTGTAAGATGCAGATAATTAAAAAAAAAACAACTTGAGCTAGAATAGTCATAAACATTCTGCTATAGTACCCAGTATCATTTCTAATAATGTATTGGAAAAGGTATACCATGTCTTATGAGAAACAGTGAAAAAGACTTTCCAAGGTTCTTAAAGTTTTTACCTAGCTGTCTATCTGTTCTTTATCCTTATGTAGTGAAAAGGTTGGGTCTGCAAGCACTATCATATAGAAACAACTCTCCCTCACTCTTTTTTTTTTTTAAAGACTATCGCATTTACGTAATCGTCCTCTTATTAGGAAGATTTTGCTGAACTGTTGACAATGATGTACAGTAGTGCTTCGCTGGTATGACGTTTGGGGAAAACGATTCTGCTGCACCACCACACAAAACCAATTAGAGAACTATTTTCTGCGACAGGTCAGGAATTTACATTGTTTCTCATAGAAAGATGTGCTTTTTAATTTCTTTATTAAGATGACATCTATGTCCCTTGAGACTTTTCGGGATGACAATCATTTGCTCATCACATGGGAAAGTACAATCAGCGAAATCGCATTACCGGTACGGGGCAATGCCAGAAACTCCAAGCATCGTTCCACATTTTCCAAATGAACTAGTTTTAGAACCAATAATTAGAACAATATATATTGATAGAATTTTTTGACAGGACCTTTAGTCACACACCACGGGGGGAAAGTAATGATAGTACATATACAACAGGGGATGTTCTGTTTGCTGCACATACAAACATCATCTTTGTCAAATCACTAAGTTATCATGGAATTCTGTGCATATCTTGGTATCTGAAACATGAGGTACCAACTAAGCTTTTTTAAGCCAAGGATGTGCTACTGTTTCTCCTTACTGAACTCTCTGTATTTAATGGTCTTGATACTGAATTACAAAAGGTAAGGTTACCATAATAGCATGGGTATGACATCAATTCACAAAACCTAGGATTTCCCAGAGTAAGAATGAAATAATGTTTATAACCCATTACTTCGCTATATTAAGATCATACTGGATTAATCAGTGAAGGCTTCCTTAAATACACTGGAATGAGAAGCTAAGCAAAATTTTATCTTTGATCCATCACATTGATATAGGATTTGTTAATTTAACAGATTACTTTAATAAGAAAATTAAATCAATAAACCTTTTCTTATAAGTACAACGTATATAAGGAAAGAGAGACAAATGCTCCACTGACACACTGCAGGTTTTTAAATACAACTGTACCCAACTTTATGAGAGTATTATTTCAGATTGTCTTCTTTTGAGTTACTAATATTAATTTGCATTCAAAATAAGCTGCTGTTGTGTGGCTTGTGAAAGTTTATAAATAACAATACAGATTTTTATCAAAAGTAGCTTCTGCGCATGTGCTATAGTCACTTGTTAGATGAAAAACCTATAATTCCTTTTAGTTTCAAAATAATAAAAGGAATGAATAAAATTATATAACTAATAGCTCGTAAATCTGTAATACTGAAGAGTTAAGCAATTTTTGTTGCAGGGAGAAAAAATTAAAATAAGTACTCGGTTTGCATTCTGATAACTTTAAACTGGCTGAAAAATGTGGCTTTTACTTTACATATTAACTATATAAAAAAAAAATGTCTCTCTTCTGTGGAACAGACTTCCTTAGATTCATATTTTGATCTGAGACTCCCAAGAAATATGGGAATAGTGGAAAAAAATGAGAGAGCATTCATTCTAAATGTAGTAACTGATGCAACTGTAAAACTGATCATTTGAACTAGGATTTCAGTAGTTAGAGATGGAAAGGCCTATTAAATAGCCCCAATCCTGCATTCGTGTAAATCAAAGTTTTAAAATGAAAACTGTGACTTTTAGTGGATGCAAGTTAATACAGTATCTATATAATGTCTTGAAGTTATATTGGATTTAATTATAATGCCATTTTCAGTATATAAAATAATTGTGGTGGATTAGGAAGCAGGAAGTTTTGAAGTTCCAGTCCTGATCATATGAATGACTTCAGGTGGCTCTTCCTTCATTCAGTTCCTGTTAATTCTCTTGAAAAAAATAGATAACAATATATTCTATACTTTTTTAGTGTTTTCTTTATCTGATCTAATATTTTTCTCCCAGGATGATATTAGTTTATACTTTTTTAGGGAACACAATCCATATTATATATATCCCATATAAATATAGATAGATAGACTGGCAGAACATATGTGTATATTATTGACAGACAGCTTATACCTATACTCACCCCTAAACATAATTATAGTTATTATGGTTCATATCTTTTTCATATATTAGAAACAACGTTCTGATAGCTAAGTCATTTTCATTTGTAAGTGCTTTACTAAACATCATGATTAAAACAAATATAGAGAAACATTTAAATTAATAAAAATAAAATTACCAATCTTTAATTTCATTGATAGAAATTTCAGAGAAATAGTAAAATGCTTCTCACCAGCAAGGTGTATAGTGAAAACATCTCCAAATTTTCGTTGCTGAGACAATAAGAAGGTTGAAGGAGCTTTCATAAAACTCAAAGCCTTTCCAAGGAAAGGTATCCAACCATTTATTAATGGAGGCTCCCCAGCTTTCCTGAAAAAAAAATTTAGAAAATCAGGGATTAATCTGGGCATGATAACAATTTATATGTTATACATATATACCAGATTATATTTAAACCTACTATATATCATTCTCTCTTCTAAAGTACTGAGAAGAAAGTTCTTCATATATGTTGGCAGGTTAAATATAATCATACCTCTGTGCAAAAAAAGGTTCAGTATAATGATTATAAGAAATGAGAGAGAGAAATGGAGGTGCTTTTGTTAATAACCCAGTATCTTTTAGTCATTATCCTAAAGTGATATAAGATCAAGTGAAATCTTCATTTTACAGAAAATCCTGTTTCATGTAGTACAGAAAATGTCTCAGCAAGATTCCTTTCCTTCTCAATATTTTGCATGTCAAAGTAAACTATATCAGGAGGCAATTAGGATGGATTTAGTTAATTAGGAGGAAGACAGTGTTAGAGATAATGTTTTAAATGTCTCACTTTACCTCCGCCCCAAAATGTTATATTTCTTAATAACCATTTATTTAAAAAATAATAATAGGAAAAACATTCTTAACATAATATTTAGTGTGATTTTACCTGCAGTTATTTTTCTTCTAGTGAACCTGAAATTCACATAGTTTAAAACTGCTTTTTTATATAAAAGTAACTATGCGCTAACCAAGGAGAAAATGCAGAGTTTTCTTTACTTTGTTTTAGGATAGCAAATAAATATTTTAAATCTTCCTTCCTTCCTTCTTTCCATCCTTGCTTTCGCAATGGCCTATTCTCTTATTCCTAACTCCAGTTCACATTTCTTTCCTTAGTACTGATATTTAGCTTCCTGATTGTGATTTAATATATGATAACATGAAACAAGTCTGTTCTAGGAAGGATTAAAACAAATATTCAGGAGCAACTCTGATGCTACATCCCATCTGTGAAGGTGACTTATAGTACATGCAGAACAACTCATTCTGATTAATCACAATATATTTACTAGCTTGGATCTAATCAAAGATCAAGGGATCACAAGCTTTACTACTATCATACACAGCATGGATTTATATGTAGCTGGATTAACCCTATGATAGTTCCTCATTTTCCCATTAACCAGTATAATAGAAAATCCAAAAGAAAAAGATTAAGGCAACAGTTAATGTTATTCAACTCTTTGTCTTTAATTAAAGCTGCTTCTTTTGATAAATGCATACAAATGAAAGAAATCAATTATTATCATCCCTTAAAAAGTAGCTTGAAGTTATTATTAAAGATGAATGCACACAAATAAGTTACATGATTTGATTTTTTTCCTATATTTAATACTAGTTGAACATGTTTACCTCCATGTAAAATATTATTTTCTTGTTATTTTTCTCTAAAAAATGCTGTACTACAAACTGGAAAATACATTTCATTGCCTGAATGTAAACACTGGATAATATAATTATTTGGAGGTGGGTTTTTTTCCTTCTATGCTTTAATAAATGTATAATAGAACTTCTAGCAGTCAATGACAGCATTATTCGTTCCAGTGGCACAAAAATGGCTCTGGATACAGAATGCATCATTGCAAACTTTTCTATGTAGAATGAAACTAAAAAAAAAGAACTAATCTGAGATTAGACCGAGGGATTCCCAAACCTAGAACTATGACAGTCGACACTATCCACTCAATTATCCTCTCAAAGCTTGCAAAGAATCATTTACCATTTTTGTGGGGGGGGAAGAAAGGGGGAGAAGGCTTTTAAATCCCAGCAGTGGCCTGCTTTCACTTCCTGAGATGGGCACTAAATTGCATAAGTAACATTGTGACAAATATTTAGATAGGCTTTTTGTCATATTTTAATTTAATGCATCTAATTTCACCCTCCATGCTCTGTCATTCGGTCAAAAGCTGTATTCTTCACAAGGCTTCCGCGGGGTAAAAAGGACGCAGCTCAGAAATCCAGGGGAAAATTAACTTAATGCTCCAAGTCTGTGGGATCACATCAGGGAGACATTTTGCTATCACAAAGACGTGAGGGTCATCGTTTGCTTCAGACATGTTTAGCTCAGCAGCAATAAGCTTAACACTGTTAAACACCATGTCAAGGCTATGAGTATTTCAAAGGAAAATATAACGCTACTTCAACTTACGACCCACAGTAGACTGATAACAGAAATGTGTCTTCATTTCTATCTTTACTTCTCCTTAGAAGATGGAGGTCACCTTAATGACTTACAGATATCTGTGCTGTATAGCAAAGGGAATAGAGTGCAATATATATTTTATAGTCTCCCAAAATATAATGCTTCGCTGCACAAACTTTTAAGTAGTATAATACACCCACTTTGGGCTTCTCTAAACTGATCTGATCTGTAGCAAAGATTTGAGGTATATATCAGAGTGCATATGACTTAGAAATGATAGGCTGCATTAACATGACTTGTAATAACCAGGATAAACACCTCCAAAAACACTACTTGTTTAATTATTTTCCCCCAGCTTTTAATACATAATTCACATTTTTCAGCCTTTATAAAATATTACAAAAATCAAAGTTAGGCTGGTCAGTATCCAATAAAATTATATGAGGAAAATAGGTGGTTTAGACTGCAGTTTGTGTAAAACAAAACTTTTTATTCTTATTTTTCAGAGTTTTTGCTGGTACTGATAGGATCTGCATTACCATGTACAAGGCAATTCGGATCTTAATACCATAATCTAGCCAATACAATTTGTACAGTATCCATCAGCCTTTGTAATCAAAATCCTCAACACAGATTTACAGACTGATTCTGCTTTATACCTGAGTAACCTGATTTACTGGAAAAGCCTAATTAGGCAAGTCAAGTTATCCACAAGCATAAGTAAATCTTATTTTGTAAAACATTAAAAACACATTTAGCACAATCTATAATTATAAAGATTAGTTAAGAGGGATGTGAAACCTATGCTAACAGTACCATTCACAGCTTATAAAGGGACTGGACAATTTAAAAAGTATGAGACAAAACACATTTATCTTAACGCACATGTATTATGAGAATTGAGGTTTTTTAATCTGAAAAGCAACTAGTTCTTCAATTTCAGGTAATTGTGGTTGTTACATGAAAGCAGCCATGTTTTAGAATATGCTTAATGTCCTTGTTTTATATTAAGAGGTTCCCTCTCTGTCGCTCCCCCTGGCCCCCCAAAGAAATCATTGAACAAGTTGTGATTATTTAACTGCTACTGCAACATATAATACAAAATGTGATGGCGACACATATGTTGCAATCATGCTGACCAGAAGGGATGCTATCAAACAGAGAAGGAAAATGGACTTGAAACATTATGTTAAAAATCAAAAGTAAATTTTAAAAATATATTTTTAAAAGAACTGGAAGTGCTAAGTCATCCAAATATTAACTTTTAGAGTTAATAAAACAAGAGTATTTGGAACGTCCATGATGGGTCATTATTCATTATGTTCTGTGAATGTAAACTTTTTTTATTATTGTTATTCAAAAGAAAAACAAAACACCTAATCTTATATTTTGCCAATGGATAACTCTGCTTACAAGCTATTCCATCCTTATAAAACTGGTGATTCTTTTCATAATTACACCCATACAATCATACTGAAGTCTATGGGTTGCATGGGTATAAAGATGAGGAAAATTTGTCCCATTTAAGTAGCTATTTGTTTGCTAAAACAGCAGATGCCTTTTCAATGTATGCAAAAAACCCACAGTGTATTTAGTCATATAGCAGATGAACAGGTTAATTTTTCTCTTTGCACGTAATAAATCATAAGTGCTTTAACACCCATAGTAGCATTTCATGAGCATAAACCTTCTGTTTAATAATGTCTGTTTACAACTAGAATCAGACATATAGTAATCTCTTGCCTGGGATAAACATTAATCCAGATCTGTCTAGAAAAATTATATAATTCATTACCATAAGTAATCTCTATTGTGCCCTGTGCTTAACCTTCATCTTTTTTCCTGTCCTATAATCTTGCAAATCCACTGGTTGTGTGTGATTGGCATCTGGTGTTAACACAACCTTCACTGCACAAAGAACAACTGAAAAAGCCCCACATGAAAATGTCACTCTGCAGGGTACCAGTGATTCAATAGAATACTCCTGAGCAACTTTCACTGAGGGGGAAAAAAAAAGCATCCGATAAAGGCCTAATAATATTGCTTGTCATGGAGAGGGACTTTTCACTTCCTAAAATAGCATTGCCAGAAAATGTAAAGCTACTGATTTAAAGGTTGATTTGATTTCCTGGTGGATAAGTTATTCCTGGCCCTAGCACTTGTGATCAAAGTATTAATATAATAGCAAAATAAAAGCAAGCAATGATGCGTTTTTAGAAAAGGCAATGTATTGGTACAGATGTAGAACAAAAGCTATTATGGACATGTCAAAACAGTTTGCAGTTATTCACAGGCTCTATCACAATATTTAAACAGCAAGACATGACAGGCAGTGTGTTTCTAGGGGCTTATGAACACTTTGACTGTGATGAGAAGAATGAGGCCAAAGGCTTCAACCCCCAGAAAGGTAATCCCCAGAAATGTAGTGTCTGGAGTGTCTTATTGCATTAAAAAAGAGAGACTGCAAGAAATTATGGACAGTGGGAGGCTAGTAAGGGTCTCCTTTTCCCCTCTCCTTTTTTTTTTTTTGATTAAGCAGTTGCAGACCCCTACAATATTTAGATCTAGAAACTATAATGTTAGGTGCCTTATCAAGTAAACTTAGAGAGGATACTTATTCCTTCCAACTAGTTCACCAGACTTTTTTAATGTGTCTCTTAACAACTATCCGGTAATGAACCTTCTCTATTATATACCAGCTGATGGGGTGTTTTTCAAAATACAGTGTATTCATCTGTAGGGATATGCAATTAATTCCTAGATAGATATGAGGGGAAGAAACGGGAAAGCAGGAAATAAATGAAGGAAAAGGAAGAAAGAAAATGAAGAACAACTCTTCATCTCTTAGCTTGTTAGAATGAGTCCCGTGTTGCTGTAGTGACAAAGCATGAATTTGTTATTATCCATAACAGAGAAGCAAAAACAGAATACATGACATAAAGGAGAGCTAGGAAGTTCCAGAAAGAACTGCCATACTGGAACAGAAATTTGGTATGCCTTATTGGTGTCTTTTGGGGTGCTAGAGCCAATACTTCAGACTTCAGATGGTAGAACAAGCATAAAAAACCCTAGCTTGGTCACGCACATTTTCATTTGTACCATGAAAAACACTTGACCCTCATAACAATTTGGAAATAATGCACACCATAAAAATAAAATAGTTAGACAAAGGTAAGGCTGACTTTACTCTGAAGTGTAAGTTTTGACTTTTTTATAATATTGGCATAGCATGTCAAAATCATAAATTCTCTATATGCTCATAAAATTACCTACTCCTTTAAAAAAAACAACCAGATTATTTGCCTTGATGATCTCTAGAAGCTCTAAATTTCCCAGGTTGAACATACTCTATATTAAAAAGTATTCCCTGTGGAACTGAACAGATGAGAGGCTTAGTATGGGAATATGCAAACTTTTACCTTTGAATCGCCAGCTTAAATACATCCTGGGGTGATAATGACCAGATGTTGTTTCTGTCTGATGACTACTTGGAGGCTTAGTTGAAGAAAACTGATTAGAACAGGTCATTTCTTAGCAGATATAGAAACCGCTCAGCTTTCTCATTTATCGAAGTGAGAAGTTCTCCCTCCACAACTACACGGAGGAACAGCAATGCATTTGAGGAGACTTGTACTGCTGCCAAGCAGACTGTACGTGTACCTACATAAGGGATTTCACTTTTCTCTGATGCTGACCTTCCACCTTTCAATGATCACTAAATTCATGTTTTAAAATAGAAATGAAAAAAGAGGAACAAAACCTGTACAACAAGTCCAGTACTCATTTCTGAACAGGACTTAATAGGTAGATAGGAATAAACAAACTTAGCCCACATGCACACTAAATGGAGGATAGTTTATCTGGCTCACAAAGAGAATTTTATAGCAAAATTAGATTTAAGGAGTAGTTAGAAAAAAAATCAATCTTCAGTGGATAAATATATTTCAATGATCTTACATGGAAAATGTCAACTTTTTGTTGAAAATGAAAATTTCTTGCAGCTGAAAAGTATTTGTTTTTTTAATACAGAGAAAAATGCCACGAAAAGGCATTTTATTTAGGGAAAAGCCCCCCCCC